GAGCAGCCCTTCTATGTGAAGGGCTCCCAATGCCCAGCAGGCCCCCTTCCAGCGCTTAGCTAAGCCTGGTAAGCCGGCTTATTACCGCGGCTGGCAGGCGAGGTCGGCGGCTGACAGCTTTAACAGCTGACGTACTTAGCCGGCCTCGACGCCTTCGCCCCCGGGTCCTTGGTGCAAAAGCCGTATGGACCCTAAGCCATCCCTTCACGCCGCGGTCCATCTTGCCGCGGCGCCCCCTTCTTGGCCCGCTTAGGCCCTGAATCGCGCGGCTGTTATTATAGGTAGAGTAGGTTCAACTTTAGTTTCCCCACGACCGCACACCAGCGCGGCCTCGTCGAAAACCGCGGACGACAGTGCCGACCCCCGTTATCCCGCACGGATGTCGGTGTCGTCCTGCGTTGACGACGTCAGGTTCAAAAAGTTCAAGTCTTTCAGTCATAGCGCTGGTCCGGATAAACTTTGGCAACGTTAATCTCATCAAGTCTTCTAATTAAGTGAAAAGGTCAGACAGCGTCCGACGTTGAAAAACACGGGCAGATACCCTTGTCAGGGTTTTTGCCCCGACAGCATTCCCGGGCCCCATTGAACGACTTCCACGTCGTTCACGTGGTCGGTGCTCTCAATATTAAATCTTGCAGATACTTCTCTTAGTATCCTTTAATCTTAATAAAATCATAGATACTATAACAGGGGATATCCGAAAAAACGGACCCCTTACTATTAAACGAGTTATGCCCTCGAAGCCAAAGTTCACCATCATTCTGCACTCATCGGATTGGTACCAGATTCAACCCCTAGAAGCCCAAAATTCGAAACTTCGGCCCAGATTCAGCCCCTGGAAGCCCAAAATTTACAATCATTCTGCATTCATCGGTTGGGTACCAGATTCAGCCCCTGGAAGCCCAAAATTTTAAAACTCAGGCCCAGATTCAGCCCCTGGAAGCCCAAAATTCAAAGGACTTAGTTTTCATGGTTCTGGCTAACAAAATTCACTTGGTAGGAAAACATTATTTTAATCATCTGGCAAACAACCATCACCGCCGGGAATTTAACCCGGGTCTCTCATGTCCATGGGGATGCATCCACAACACCTCAACACACTCACGTGTCGCCAGGAGTTTAACCTGGACCTCCCACGTAACACAAGGATACTCGTACTATACTACAGTCACGGTTGTCGGGGATGATAATAGCAAGGCTCCGGCTTTCCATCATTCCTTCTGGAAGTCCCGTATTAACCTTCAGCTAGTTTCCAGAATGAGCCAGGAATAACCCCTGACTGGCCTCCATAACCCAACCTATGATAATCGTTCAGACATGATTTGAACTAGCCATTCAATACAATAACCTTTTATTTAAGTCCTTTACCTGAGTTCCATAACCCATTCGATCGTGCAACTTTACAAATACCCAGGATTATTATGTTCTAATATCCTTAAACTCTATGTGACTGCGTCGAGGAGTGGTGTAATCCTCCACAAAGGATAACATCTCGACATCAAGCCCCGCTTTAGATTCGAGTCTCACCACATTCCCTCCGATTCCAGTATCACAACCCTGTCAATGCAACGTCTACAGGGCGAGACAACCCCATCCCTATAGTCCAAGTTGGTCAGACGAGGATCATAAGGACGCGGCGACCCTGCATATCACAAGGATGGACGACCAACCCCACCCCTGTGATAAGCAGCGATCGCTCCCCACCATAGGCGAGGTGTCAACAGAATTACGACACCATCCTCCTTTTCGGAGATAGTGTAGCCATCGCCCTCTTTCAAGAAAAATGACATCATCTCGTTGTGGATCAGGAACCAAGTTTCGGCACGAGCCTCACTACCACCTACAAGGCTCACATCTTTCAGGAACATCAAGACACAATAAGGACTAGGTATTACATATAAACTTATTATATTTATTAAACCATGTGCCTACAGAACGAATACTTATCGTTCAGGAAGTCACATGTTCCAAAATTTTATACACATTTTACACATTAAGTCATGACTTTGCACAAATGATTCACACCCATCCTTTTCAAGCAAAACACATTCAACATAAGAAATAAAAGAAATGCATGCTCAGAGAATCATTTTTGCAAGGCTTGAAAAAATTATTATGCACATCAATTATCTTGCTCGAGAACGAAGGATAATGACAAAAATGACATCAACAAGTAATTCATTACAAGTCCATATGTGTCCGTCCATTACATGGAAAATATATCTTACAAATACTTAATCATAGAATCAGGTTAGCCTGTGGTATCAATGCCTGTTAAGAAAAGTAAGGCATTATGTAGTCCCTATGAACAAACTTCTTCAAGCGTGAGCCCGAGACCCAATCTCGCCCACGTGCTCCATCCATCTCCTCAATCTCGTATGCCCCATGCTCTGTTTTCTTAATGATACGATATGGCCCCATCCATCGATTATCTAATTTTCTCGACCACTGCTTTTCAAGAGAAGAGTCATAGAGGAGGACAATATCCCCCACTTCCAATGGTTCCTTCCTAACCCGGGATTGCTTATCCCACCTAACTTTGTCCGCCCTTCTGCTGTCCGCAGTTGAAGCAGCAACCTCTACAACTCTTTCCTCAGTCGCTTTTATCTGTCTGGCTCTCAAGTCCAACAATTCTTCTGTAGAAAGCCTGACTTTCATATCCTGTTTTTGCTATGTGGTTAGGAAACTCTCGATTGGAAATGTAGCATGTCGTCCAAACCATAACGTATCCGGAGCATATCCAGTAGTCCGTTTTACGGTTATATTTTTAACAAATATGGCAGCTATGAGATAGACGGACCATGTTGATGGCTTGCCAACACACCATTTAGCTAGCAAATTGGTCAAGGTGGCATACCCACGTTCGACCGGAGCATTAGCCTAGGGGTGCGCTCTAGTGGTATAACTATAGTTCACTCCCAGTCTCCTCAGCAGAGCCTGAATTTCTTCCACCCGAAATTCACCGCCTCGATCCATCACAAATTCCCGAACAAATGGGTACCGAAGGTAAAACTCTTCGATACATTCTGCCAAAATTTTCCCGGTTCGTTCACGGATCGCACATCCATCAACGAATCCGGTAAGATTGTCTCTCGCATAAAAAATGTATCTGTACCCATTAAGCCCGAGTGGCATAACGACCAAATCGAGGTGCACAACCGCACCTGGCTCAACCACATACCGTGGATTGAGAGGCTCGACATAACGGTGGTTCGAACGTTTCTGACAGGGGATGCACGAGTTGCAGAATTTCACCACCATCTACACATACCATCCCAAAAATAGAGATGTTGAATCTTTCTTAATGTCACTCGAGCAGATCGATGTCCACCTGCCACTCCATCATGTAGGGCCGCAATCACATCCAATTGTGTGGGAACCCCACACACCACTCTCTTAGGCGTACCATCGTCAGACTTTTTGAAGAGATGCCCCTGTCAAACGACAAAACCCTTTGCCTTTTCTCTTATTTCTGGCTCTATCTCTGCCTCATTCAGGTCTTTATTAAACCAAAGTCCAATCTTCTTATAAGTCCCATCATATTCCTCCTCACGAAAGACTTCTTTGATCTCACTGCCTTCCCCTTCTTCCAACATTAGCTTACCGTGATCTTCCTGTATCAACGAATTAACAAGAAACACCATTCCCCCAAAAATCTTGAGGACTTCGTCGCCTTGCTCATGCCCCCCTTCAATCGTAAGAGGTTCTTTCGAAAGTTGTCCTGGGTCAGACAACGCCAACCTCATCATCCGCTCAGCAGACCGCTCACCCTAAGGATCCTTCTCAAAAAAGGGTTCCCTCATCACAAGCTCTGCACACTTTTGATAAGAACTCGGCGAACTCCAGATAGACTTCCCAGGTCGGGACGACGCATTACTGATGTATTCCCAAACATTGATACTCAGTTGTTGCTCGTCCGTCTCCAAAAACCTATCCACTGGAACCGAGTCTTCTGCCTGATCTTTCGAGGAGTCTCACTCGATCCGGCTCAATCCATCTGCTCGATTTTTCGCTCCTGCAATGCGCTCGATCTCGAAATCGAACATTCAGATATAGATCAACCATCGAGCAATAGTTGGATCCGAGGGAGAGTAATTCTTCAATGACTGCGCCAGGGCGGTCGGATCAACCCGCAGGACGAACCGTCTTCCAAACACATAGTTTCGAAAGATCCTGAAGCAATGAAGCACTGCAAGGGTTTCCTTCTTAAATTAGGAATATTTCCGTTTCGACTCATTCAGCGTTCGACTTTAAAATCTCAATGGTCTTTCTCGCCCTTCTCCATCCTTTTGGATGAGGACACCACCCAATGTTGTGGGGCCTGCATCCGTTTCAACCACAAAGGGCCGATTCGGGTCACTGTCAAAGCACGGAACCCCCAGGATCAACCCTCCTTCTCGGAACTGTGCCTTGATATCGTCCACCGCCGCCTGTTGTTTTGGACCCCATTCCCATCCTTGATTTTTACGCACCAACTTTCGTAGGTGCTCCACCCTTGCGGCGAACTTGCGAATGAAGATGTGTCAGAATCCGCAAGTCTCCAAAACTCTCTCCTCTTTATAATACACTTCTTCTTCTTGCGTGATCAAGACGGGCACTGGCCGGGCTTTCTCACCTACTCTCTTGTACTTACGTTTCGCTCCGACTCGAAGTTGTCCACCTCTAAAAAAAGCCCTTGCTTGGCTGCTGGCTCCGTCAATACATCACCTTCCGAAGGCCTGTCGGGCCGATAAGTAAGATACATTCTACCAGTCTCGCCTTCTCCTGCCACAATCTTTGTCAATATTTGGACCAACTTGGGATCCACAGACGAGTCTGTCGCAACGAACTCGATCGCTTGAGAGATGTTGGGTAGAGCAAGAGAAAATTCCTGGGGATCGCTCTCTTCTCCGAGAGATTCCTTCTCCCTTCTGAGTATTTCGGATTCCGTGAAAGAGTAGGACCCCGGATTGAGTCGGTTCCTTGAGTTGGTTGGTCCTGTGTTCTCACACTTCAGTACCTCGTAATAGCCACATACGGGGTCACACAAAACCACGATCATAGTACCATCGTGCTTGTTAAAGATGATGGATTCTGATCGACATAGAAAAGTTTTGCCCAGCAACACGGCATGCTCAACCCTGGGTAGCACATAGAAGTAAGAACGGACTTTGACTTTACCAACTTGTATCGTCACGTCACTCGCCGTTCCGCAAAAGGGAGTTATCCCACTTGCACGCACCAGAAATCCAGTATCTGCTCGATTGATGTTGGCTCTTGCCCCCATGGCTTCTCTTTCCTGTATAATGTTCATTTCAGCTCCATCATCGATGAGAGTTGAATATTCGCATGGCCCAATTTGCACCTTTAACAACCCAGTAGCTACACAGTGTCATTCCATTTTTATCCCAGGCGGAGCCCAACTAATCTCTTGAGGAAAGATATCACTCATCTTAACCGTCATCACCTTTTTCCTTGACAGTCGGTGTCTGAACTCCTCTCGGATTTTGGGTGACGCGGCCAAGAACTCCTTGAGCGTGAACAAATCGCACTGACTTTCCAAAATCCGATCCACGATCTGCTCAATATCCAACCCTTGGTCCACTGGGATTGTGTAAACTTTCTTCTTCTTTTTTAATTTTCCTTCCCCAACGTCGGCCTTGCCCGTTTCTGGCTCCCTCTCCATGGCTCGTTGTTTGGCCTGCCTCTCATCTTCGGCTCGCAGCAGTTCATCCTCCTCGCCATCGTCTTCTTCAATCGAAATCGTCTCGGTTTCCCGAGGCTGACTTGGCCCTTCTTCCGGTGCTGCCCTTGGCCGCGACGGCCTTCGAGCCCTCCGAGTTTGTGGGAGGCCGGCTGTGGCAGGTCGCTTGAAAGCAGGACGGGACAAGATTGTGGTGGCCATCAAACGCCCTGCCGACGGCGATCCAGGTTGTGGTGCGCTAACATCATTAAGACCTCCTTGGCCGTCTCTGTCTCATTCTCCAAACAGAAAAACTTGGGGAAGCCCGAGCCATTCTTCATTCATGTCGGCGCATATTTGAACAAAAGCTTCCCTGCATCGAGTCATTTTTCTGACCACTGTTTGAGCTCGCTGCAGTATCTCTTCCTGCTCTTTGCTCAACCCTTCATCTCCGGCCTTGGCATCCTCAATTGTCAATGACTCCATCGTCGCTTCCAGCTCAATCTGTTCGACTTCTTCCGGAGAAGTCAGTCGAAAAGTTGCTGGAAGATCTCGCCCCATGCGTCGGAAAGCTTCCTTTCTTATTCCTCCCGCCACATTGGGATCGATGAGATTCCCTTCGAAGTCGTAGACCTCGCCTCGGATATTCGTATATATAACCTTATCGTTTTCATGTTTGGTAACGGTCTGACAAAACCGTATCCCATGTCCATCTTGGCCACAGTACTTGCAAAACCAATTCTGCCAATTGCCTCGGCCGCCTCCATTTCCTCGGCCTCCCCCATTGCCTTGGCCTCTACCTCGACCTCGGCCCCGGCCTCCTGCCTGAGGTTGGGGCTGCTGAGGAGGGGCTGGAGCTGCCTGTTCCTGATTACTTCCTTGTCCACCTCCTCCATTATTCTTCTGCTGCTTCTTACTAGTGCCTTGCCCTCCTCGTATCTGGTTCAGGGCCTTCCGTTCTGCTTTGGTCAATTTTCGAGGAGGCTCCTCTTCCTCCTCGTCTTCCTCTTCACTGCTGCTACCACTGACTTCCTCCACAACGGGTGCTTTGCCCTTCCTTTTCCCACCTTTTGTCTGGACCATCATCACCTGTAGCTTTAGCCTTTCCTCTTTCATGTCCGCCATCATGTTCCGCATGTCAGTCAGGGTTTTGTAAACGGCTTGATCCTTGTCCGCGCTTACCCCTTCCTTCTCACGGTCCTCCTTTTGCTGCTTCAGGAGACGGTAAAGCATTTGGTCGAAACTTCCAGCCAACAGATTTTCCTTTATCTTTGGCCAGTCGTATCGCCCCGTCATGTCCTTCATCAGTTCTCGCTGCTCAACTTCTGAAAATTTTTCGAGGAAGATAAGGCACTGATCCTTATCAGGAAGATCAGGCACTAAGCGCGCGACTCATTCAAATTCTGTGAGAAACTGCTTGGCCGTACCAAACTTCCGACGACTAACCTTCCGTAAGTCCGCCAGATCGAGCAGTTGATCCCCCAACAGGGACTTGTCCAATAATTTGGCCTTGAAGTCCGGCCAGTCGCGCGAAGCTTGCACCAACTCCGACACCTCCTCTTTGTACTCGACCATACAATATCGCTTCACCATTTGAAGCATCTTCTCACTCGACCATTCGCAACAACTGCCCAATTGTTCAAACTTGTCCGCCCATGCTGAGGCATTGGTGCCATCGAAGAGGGGAACTTGAACCTTCGGCAACTGTGCCTTCTGATTATTAGCCTCACGAATGGCTCGTGCGAGTTCCAGAATATCGTTGCGACGATCCCCTGCATTACTATTTGCGGGATCAATATTTCCTCCCGTCATCTTGAGAGAATCAACACGACAAACCCACATGTCCAAGTGTCAAATATATTCCAACAACTCACTCCAAACCTTGCCTTCTTTCTTTTCCCAGACATTGATAACCACTGACTACTTTCAATCCAAACAAACAACACACAACACTTAAAATCACTATAACCATCCTTTTCCTGAGTGTCGTTCCACCAGGGACAACGGTAATTCGCCGTCCTCCCCGGCAACGGCGCCACCTGTCGAGCGCATCGGCCCTCGCGTGAACGAGGGCCCTCCCGGCTATGTCATGCAGGAGTTAGAAAAACATAATCGAGAGACAACTTAGGACGATGCAGAAATAATCCCGCGAACCGCCGAGACGGACGCGGTCGCATTGTCCCTTCGCCGCTCTAGCCGGGTGCGCCAGCTATACATCCTGCGGTCCCCTACGACAGGATAGGTTTTCGCGGGGCACAACTTATCTTCCCTGAGGGGCTGTCACCACCCTCAGGGGCGTATCCCTACCGAGCTACTGACCCACGTGCGAAAGCTTTTACATGCAATTGCAGAGGTAGGTTAGCCGAGGGCGTTTGCTCGCTCGCTAGAGTATAGGTACGCTTGGCTAACGCCAAGTGGACCCGAACGTTGTTCGTTCCCGATGGCGCTGATCTCCTCGGTACGAACGAGCGTCGGTCGACTAGGACGGCCTCGACCAAACGTGAAATCCAACATATAATCCTAGCCCCTTTATAATCCTCTACTCGTAAAATGAACGAAACCAATACATAACCAACATTTCGACTTGATGAGATGATATGCCAAGGTTATTATTTCCTGCCTACCTGACTGGCGAGACGATTATACCGTCATCCGAGGACGGAAGATCCGTCGCGCACAGCCTCTATGAGTAAATACATGCAGATCAACAAGTCATCTTCTTCCCGGTCGATGTTTAAAATCCCGGTCCGACCGCACCGTTGTACTGCACGCGTCTACTCGGAGGAGCGAATGACAATTTTGTTTGTCGCTTTGTCCTCCTAGGCAATAATTACTCTCTCTGTTCCACGAATGACGAAGTAGCCATTGCCAACACCAGGTTACCTGGCGTGGGACTGTTTCGTCTTCTGTTAACATGTCCTCGTTGTTCCGCTCGACACTTCTTCAAGTGTTCGGCCTTCGCTTTGTTCAGCGTATTTTTAAGTGTTTGATTACCCCTCAATGCATCAGCATGATAGTGCTATCATTGGGGCAATCCAGATACTATCCATCTGGTTGGCCTACCTACACAAGGTCGTTGTTTTTTTTTGTTATTATTACCCTTGTAGAGTCACATAGGCGTGACCCTACTATAAGGACAACTCACCATGGCACCAAATTTGAGAGGGTGTGCTTAGCCGGGATAAACCTGTCGGCCCTCATGGGCCTCAGCCTCTATCCGGCCGAGTCGTGTTAGCTCCTCGTCGTCAAACGTCAAGGTGGAGACACGTCCGCCTCGCACAACTCGGATCTTCCGCGTATCATAGAGAGAAGCCATCCGTGAGGCGACCTTCCAGACTATGGCGCGGAACGGCTGACGATCCGAAAAAGGTGCGTGGTCGTGGTGTCCTTAATCCGGATGGCGCCGTAGCGCTTCCCGGATAGGGTAATTTTAACGCTCACAATGACCCGAGAGAGGCATTGGAGGTTGCTCGCGCGATGGAAGTACAAGGTATATCCATGAACTTCTCCCGGAAGTCGGGCCACATTGGCGCAAACGTCCGCGCGCGAGTTGGGAAAGAATCTCTGCCCATCGCTGAGCAGGCCGATAAAACCAATCCAGCATGTGGGCGCTCCATCCCGAACCAATAATAATCGCTCCGCTCGCCGGATCTGCTCCTCGTCCGGAGTGTCGCGAATCAGTAGATATCTGGCCTGAGTAAGATCTCGCCGTCCGCCGGACATCTGCACACCGAAAGAGCCGCCTATTAGAAGAGGCACTCGTAGATTTCACAAGCCTCGTCATAAAACGCGGTGACGTCGAAACATTCCGAGCGAATGATATTAAATCTATTCGCTCGGACCCGTCTCACATGATGAAGAAGAATGAATGGTCCTTGCAAATCGTTCAAATGGAGTACAATATGGAGGAACATCCCCCTAACCTCAGGAATGTTCTCTACTCCCGGACAGTCCTCGTGAACCACAACTAGGTTCATGTCTCCGTAATCCCGTGATGGAGTAGGAGGCGCAAAATCATATCGCACAATACGCTGGTCTGGTTCAACCAAGAAAATATACTTCCGCGGTGGTTTTCTCACGCTCCCATCCCAGAATCGTGGCGCATCCCGCTCCGGATAACTTCAAGTAGGTTGCATACCAGCCTTCCTTTCCGTATCATGTCGGCGAGGGATCGTGTTGGCACCGCTAACTGATTAGCCACCGCTTCGCGTGTGCTGAACAATTGGAGGATCACTGTCTCCACAAGCATCTGAACGACGAAGCGATAACTTTGTCAAAATAATTTTAGGTATACGAACTTCCATGTTCAATTTTCACTTCCCTTTTCGGGCCGTGATTCTTATGTAACGGTCCGACCGCGAAAGTAGTGCCTATTTGCACTTCTTTTAACTCTAGTTGAGCCACGGGCTGGGCTTCTTATGGCGCCGGCCCTCCCACGCGTTGGTGGCTCCTAAGGCGGCCACCCAACAGGGTACTAGATTCAGCCTCCCCTTTTCCTGAAAGCACGAGGAGGCGACTGCTCCTAGCTTCAAGACACCCTACCCTCTAGGAAGTGGTTTGAAATACCCCTCCCCCTCGCCCGAACACATTGTTCAGGACTCAGAAGTTGGGCTGGCTCCACCGCAACGGCATGGTGTCCCCCCGCATAAGCGGTCCGCTCCGAGTCGATAATAGGGCCGGCCCCTAAGGCAACGAACCCCTGCCTCAGATACCTCCTAGAGAGAGGAAGCCTAGACCCTAGGTGCAGGCGACCGCTCTATACCCTCCCGGCTAAGGGTCGACTTAGACGAATTAAGAAGAGAAAGAAGTAAAATATTTTTAGACGGGCATAGAAGGATAATGGTCGTTCGGGATAGAATGGGGAAGTTCTTGGGAAGATACTAAGGTGTTCCCTTGTATTCTCTTCTTTTAATTTTCCCACGGCCTTCGTTCTTCCGGCACCCATCCGTTCGCACTCCCGTTATTATTTTTGTTCCTCCTCTTTTCCGTCACATGCATTCAGGTTGAGTGGGAGAGAGGTAAGCATCCCCATTATTATCTCGAGCAAACAATGTTGATCCCTCCTCACATGCATCMCCCAACCTACCTGCACAACCAMGAAAAGAAACAATCAARAGATTTATYCATCCCTCAAACAGGTCAGCSYTTTCTCCACACGCATGACATCACACTCTCACTCTACCCTTTCCCCTGAATTCAAAGCAAGGTCATGCAAGGTGTGGGTTCACGCGGGTGTGCAAAGGAACTGAGTCGCACTGACCTTGAGTGAATTTTATGAWGRCTCACTCAAGAAAGCCAAGTATTTTCTCAAGAAAGTTCTGYTGCTCACAAAGATGAGCCGCACCTCCCTTCAGGCACCAACACTGACTTAGGCGMTGCTCACCAAYACAAAAGTGGGYTCGCCGAWGAGGAGAGTATCCCACTCTTAAATCCCAYAGCCTCAATGTCACACCTTCCACCAAAACAGCGYTGGTCGACCCACSAAATACCAAGTCAGRCCACCACCTGCCTGCCGCAATACTTGGTGGTCCCCGACCCAATCCCCGYTTACTCGGTATACCGCAAAAAAAATRACAGCGGCCTTAACAGTCCTTACAGGTACCGCRTGCCGCAACGTCCTCAACAAGACGATCGCCACACCCTTTCTATTACAAAGTGCACTTCCACYTTGGTGGTATCGTCCCTGCGGCAACGTCCAACCCCCCTTCTCGCAGTCCTGTGCAAAATACTGTTGCCACACAATCCAGTAGCACCCGCGCCGTACTGTCAAGAAAATCGGTGTTGCCGCTGCAAGAATTCGGCAGYGCTTCCGCTGTACCGCCAAGAAACCCGCGCTACCRCCGCACCRTTTCGGCAGCGCTTCCGCCGTACCGCCCAGTCCAGCAGCAGCCTCAAGGCTACRGCTTCCCCACARCCCGCAACAYAGCACGGAAGGTGGGGCAAGAARCTCCTAGCCTTTAGYTATGGCTGCCTCCTCCTTCCTCCAAGTGCTACCGCAGACCTCCAGCACTTCGCCTCGTCACACCAGCAGCCAGCCAGCCAGCATCTACTCAAGTAGAATGCCCCAGCAACATTGCCGCAAGTGTGAGGCTGCTGGGTGGCAGGCTAGCTTTTATAGCTGGCCGAAGGCTGAGGGCAGCTGCTTTGCCCCCAGCCAAATCCCGGAATAGAGTCTGGACCTTGATCAAACTTGTGATCAAGGGCCAAGGAACTTGATGTTGGCCTTCACCTGCGGCTAGACGCAGTACACRAATGGCTGTACTCGGCCATTTTCAAGCAGACTGTTGAACCCAACAGTCTGCAATCTATTCACAGTCCAGATGCTTCTAAACTTGCATCTGGACCGAGGCCGCGGCTAGATCCGCGGCCGCTTCTCTTTTTTTTTCTAACTTCCTCCCCAATTTTTTTTTCCGTTTTTTTTCCGTTTTTTTTTTTTTTTTTTTTATTTTCTATTTTTTTTCGTTTTTTGTTTCTTTTT